ATAGAAAACAGACATTTTACCATAGAAAAATAGAAAAACAGACATTTTACCATAGAACATAGAAAAATAGACATTTTACCATGGACAAATAGAAAAACAGACATTTTACCATAGACAAATAGAAAAACAGACATTTTACCATGGACAAATAGAAAAATAGACATATATTTTACCATGGACAAATAGAAAAACAGACATTTTACCATAGAAAAATAGAAAAACAGATATTTTACCATGGACAAATAGAAAAACAGACATTTTACCATGAACAAATAGAAAAACAGACATTTTACCATAGAAAAATAGAAAAAAACAGACATTTTACCATGGACAAATAGAAAAACAGACATTTTACCATGGACAAATAGAAAAACAACGAAAAGAGTAGACAAACAAGTCAACAAAACATGGAATAGAAAAAAAAATTCGAGCAACACTAATCCAACCAAATACCGAGTGAACTCTGGAAGGCAATAGAGACGTCCGTCGAAATACTTTCACAATTGAGAAGAAAAAGAGGATGAGATCGCGTCTACAAGTGGAGCGTACCAATGGTCACCAGCGACAAATATATTCCTTAGCGGTCAATAAGAGATAATTTTAACTACTACGTTTGGATCCCTTCACTCAATAGACTTTAAAAGTTGCAATCGTCTATCAAGGCCACATTTTGCATTGTTGTTTCAAAGAAGCATGAAGATAAACATAAGTGGTATGAAGTAGAAATATTATTGTTACATAATGTACGTAAAAAAAGAGATTTGTTTTCACATTGAATTGCGACTTTTCCGATTTTTTTATGAAACGCAAAGTGAAATTGCAAAAGCAATTATCGCAAAATCTGAACATCAGCATGCACTTTAATGTCTACTGGTTTCCATGGTTATAAATGTTTAGATACAATTACTTCATTAATCTAATTTTTAAAAACATGCATATTTCAAATATTAACTGTTTTAAAAAATCATATTTCCCGAGACTTTCATATCTAGATGATATGGAATTATTTTAAAGTTTTGCTATTAACAGTTAAGGATTATGTCTATATAATGGTAAAAAGTAAAATAACAAAATACCGAACTCCAAGGAAATTTCAAAACAGAAAATATCTTTCAAATGGCAAAATCAAAAGCTCAAACACATCATACGAATCGAAAACAACTCTCATATTCTTGACTTGGTACAGGCATTTCCTTGTGTAGAAAATGATGGATGAAAAATTTTGTCCTGCATTTATTTTAGTGGTAATCTCTGTCCTGTCTTTTTATTTTTCACCATATTCGGTTCTGCCTTTTTTTTTTATTATTCTATCCTGACTTTTTTTTACAAAAATTGTCATCCTACCTTTTTTTTTGCTAAGTTGCTCATCCTGCCTTTTTTTTTACTCAAAACTCATGTCCTGCCTTTTTTTCAAATTTCATCCTAGCCCCCCACCCCCATAAAAATCAAATGGTAGCTCCCTTAATCAGCATGACTTTATCAGATGACAAAACGAATGCTAAAAATCCAGGCTTAAAATCAGGCGTAGTTATTTTAATTCAGTCAAGGACACGCGATGTCGCGGGTGTGTTTTAGTATAATATAATATTAGCCTTTTTGATAATAATCGATAATATCTTCGGTCAAAGCAGAAAACAAAGTCACAGGTAAAAAAATTGAAAAGTTTAAGGAAAAGTCCAAAATCTGGTAGAAAAAAATCAGGAATATTTTCTGAAATTTCGAGGCAAATTCTTTCATACATGTTAATATCCATCTGATAAAGTTTCAGAACACATCCACATCCGAATAATTCTTTTTCATGGGAAGCAATTTTGAAACTGCATTTGAAATCATACGGCATGCTACGTTATACTCTTAAATATGTTGGTTTTTTTTTTTATTATTCGTATGTCTTTTATTGCAATTTTGATTCGATGATTTTGTTTATTCCAAATGAATACGCTCACCCCGAATATATATACATTAAATTTGGTCAATGTAGACAGAGACATCATTAGTATATAGTATATAGGTTCCTATATGTGAGTGTCAAGTTATAAAATAGAGATAATAAGACAACATTTATTCAACTACCTTCTATTTACTTTTTACATTTCCGGTCAATTGTCTACTCTCTGAACAGAATGCATCACTTTAAAAGAACATTGGAAGAAACAGAAGTATTGAGTAAAAAAAATTGTTTTCAAACATTATATCATTTATTTCCCAAAATTAAAGTGTCATATACAGTACTGTTTAAGATAAAAAAAAATGAATGAAAACGTTTTTGAACATTTGCTGAATTCCTATTGAAGTCTCACAATGATATAAAATGGATATATTTAAAAATTAATGAGCACATTTCTGCAACTTTTTTTTTCCATATTTGATCAAATATTTCAGAATCTATTGGTATTTTCAAAAATAAATGTAGACATGACGAAAAATGTCAAGAAAGGTAAATACAATGCGCTTATACTTTCAAATGTACAATCAATTAAAACATTTGTGAAGCAGAACTATAAAGAAGAGACAAAAGATACCAATGAGAAATCAAACTCATAAGTCGAAAAAAAAATGACAATACCATGGCAAAAAGTAACCCCGAAACAACGAAAAGACAAACAGTAGAAATCTAGAGATTGAGCAACATGAACCCACCAAAAAAAAAACGGGGAGAGATATCAGGTGTTCCGTAATGGAAAGCAGATCCACATGTGACACCCGTCGTGTAACTCCTATATATTATACTGATAAATTATATCTTGGAAGACACCACCAAATTCATAATCAATCGGTCATGTAAATGTTCCAACACTAAAACTTGATCGAATGTGAAATTTTGAAATTGAACAACTTTTTTCATGACAAAGGATTGACAAGATCTGTTACCTGTATAAACATCACAGACATTAAAAAAAATTAAAATAACACAAAGAACAACCCTAAAAACTAAAGCAAGAACACTACGAACCTCTTTTTAACATAACTAGAAATGATCTCAGGTGCTCCGGTGGTGTAAGCAGATCTTGCTCCACATGTGGCACCCGTCGTGTTGCTCATGTAAGTACAACCCGGTGATAAGTCTAATTCGGTATAGGTCACATTTGAGAACAAGAGGTGGTTACAACAATTGGAACATATCTGTTGTCATCTGTGAAACAGATATTCCATCACGGTCAACCAACTCGTGATGGCGTCCGTAACATTTTCGAAGGGATGATTTTATCTTTCATAAGAAGCTCTTGTATATAGTCAGCGACATATGAATGAAAAGACAAACAAGTCACCGAAACACTACTACCAAAAAAACAAATATTTAACAAATTCCAACGATAAACCGGAGTGTACTCATGTGCTCTGGAAGGTCGGTATATATAAGCGAGTCTTGTTTCACTAATGATACAATTAAGATAAAATCGTGATATATTGATATAGAGACATAAGTGAAAAGAATGCACTTAAGTATACCGCCAAGGGGAATTGTTTTCACCTTAAATTGCGATTTTTTTTTTGGGGGGGGGGGCAAAATATTTATGTTAAACAATGATGTGTAATTGCTGTGAGCATGTCCGTTTTAATGCAAATTTTGAGGAGTATGCGTTTTGTTTTTGCTGTCTTAATCCAGGTGTGGATCCAGGATTTTGAAAAGGGGTTCCTGTCAAGCCAACATTTGTAGTGATACTTATAAAAATTATATGCATCTTACATATATGAAGCTCCATAAGGCCCCCGTGGGCCCCTAAATCCGCCTCTGTGCATTTTTGTAATAATTTTTCTTAGTATGGGGTAAACACAAAAATGATCGAATCCTTTTCAAACATAGCTAGAATGTGAACCGATCATTTTTTTGTTATTTGTTATCCAAATTGGCGAAATACTCCAATACTACCTTAATTTTGAATAAAACGCTATGAAAAGAATGAAATACATCGCTTTTAAAATACTGAGTGACAACCGACGGGTTTGTTTTTTCTCACTCAAAATATCGAGATTAATGTTTCCTGGTGAGAGAAAAATCAGTGACCCCAAATATTTTGTTTTCATATATGTATATGCCTTAAACATGTTAAAGGGGCATTAGTTGTCAAATCGTCATGTTCACCGATTTGACTCAAATTCTCATATTTGCCACAGGAGATATAAACTGTGAATCAGATGTACAAAACATTAGTCAAGCATATATGGGATAAAGTAAAAGGTTCGGATGAATATGACACACGAGGTTTTTGTTCTATTATGCGCTTAGGATAAATTAATTAGCCTATAGGCCTATGCTTACAATACAAAACAAATATGTACATGATTTATTTTCAAACAAACCACCCAAAAACTGAGAGCATAGTATGCAGTAGATTTGTTAGATTATTTATTACCTTATAACGCTTATATTCAGATTCACATTATTTTAGATATTAACACAATATCCAACAATATCTCTTGCGAACTCAATAAACGTATGTACTCAGACAAAAATGTATGATATCATGCATCGAGAGACAGATGTTGCAGCAAGATAACTAGGCACATTTTATGTGTTGCGTTCTTGAAATAAACTGCACATTGTTCTTTTTAAAAGTTAATTTTTAAAAATTAACTTTTAAAAGATGAATATGTGATAAATGGAGATACATGTATTTCAGTTCCTTTATTGGTATCAAGGATTTGTATAGTAATCTTACTATACAAATCCTTGGTGACACTATACAAATCCTTGGTGACACTTTACAAATCCTTGGTGACACTATACAAATCCTTGTTGGGATTGAGGTTCTCCCGAAGCGGTGAGATGCGATACAAACATAAGGTAACGTATGGCCAATATTAAATATATTCTAGCTAACAAGTTTATAAACTAATAAGTAATTGATTTTTTAGGGACTCTGAAATTTTAGTATGCTTGACTTTCTCTCATTTTAATGATTAAAAATACGGAACTGTACTCAATTTTGTTTCCTCAGTTTGATTTAGATTTTAGGTTTTTTTTTCTGGTTCCCGCCGATTTTTCACTCGAACGGGACCAGAAACAGAGAGCTGAGGAAAATCCTGAAAGAAAAGTCCCATGAAAAGATAAAAAAATGATGATATGCCAACACAAGAAAAAGTTTTCTTCTAGCCAGCACTGAACTACTGAACTGGTGGAAGAAATTTTCTCGCGGAGTAACTGTTCTGCAGGTAAAAGCATTGAATGACGAAAAGTTTCCAACAAACATGAAAATTATAACCTGATAAATATGACATACTCTGTCTAGTCTACGTGGCTACAAAGAAAACATCTTTTCATTTCTTCTATAATATGCATGGTCTCATCCATTTCCTAAGGTCAAAATTGACCCAGTTTCAGGGGTTCAAATTTACCGTGGAGTCGGGAGTGATTTTCTGATTTGTCTGCCTCAGAAAATCTCTCCAGACTCAAACTTAAAGAGATGATAGACAGTGATACTTGTAGGACCTGATCTGTAGGCCTACTAGTCCAAAAAATTATGACGTCTTGAAAGGCTATTTTATTTTTTAGCTTTGACGCCTTCCTGCGACATAACACCAAAGTTTTTTTTCTAGTTTGATCTTTGAGAGAAAATTTACTGCTTTACATGTATTAAAAAGCTTAGCTGATTTCTCCTCAAGACGGTTCACTTTAGGAGTTTAAAATACATTTTTGCACCAAACTCTAAAATTGGATGGATCTGAATTTCTGGATCATATAACATTGTATAATGAAAACGTTCTGGTAATTTGGGTCTGTCAAATTTTACAGAGTTTGGTGCAAATATTTATATTATATTCTCCTAAAGTGAAATCAGCTAAACGTTTTAAAAAAAAGCAGTAGATTATTGTCCGCCGCGGTTGGAATTGTAACTTATTTTATCATTTCTTTGGGAAATTATTGAAAATATTTTGCTCAAGCAAACACATAAAAGTCTCTTTGACACATTCCCCATTTCCATTCTCAATTTTATTTTTACATAAAAGTTATGAATTTGTATTTATTCAAAAATTTCTAGTCGTCAATGAAAATTTTATGGCTAAATTGGGTCTCAAAGTTGAGAGAGAAATCCCTCTCAAAGTCCAACCAAAAAAAAGTGGCTTCAGCATTATGACGTCGCAAGAAGGCGTCACAGGTTTTTCCCTAGGCTATTCAAGCATTGCGGTACCGCTACGCATAAATTTCGACCGCCATGCTTTCATCATTGCTGCAATGCGTCCCGCTATGTGTGAAAATAATAACTGTGTAAAATGTATTTTGAAAGTGAAGTGACAAGTGACAACAATCCACAGGTGTTTTAAGCTCATCCAACTGATAATTGGATGCATCACGTCGCGTGTGCCGGGATTTTACAACCTTCTTGATTAGTTGGTTATTCATCGAGACTTCGGAAGTTCGGTTACATAAAAGAAGTCACCAGTTAGCTGAAAAATAAATAGTCAGATTAATCTCCAATGCATATGCTTTCTGTGCTAAATAAAAAGTTTAACCTTTTCCAGTATAAATTTCACCTTTAAAAATAAAGCGGGTGTTTGACATCGTTATTTTACGGTGACCTTTCAAAAGTAGAAATTTAAAATTTGGTATAGTCTCTGTTATTATAAAATAAAACTAACGTAATTTCACCCAGAAAGGACAAAACATTTTTTGCTAATAAAGTTTTGCAGTTATTTCCATGAATTATTTGTTGATTGGTCACAACAATCAGTTATTTTTAGATTAGTCCCGGTTGATTGATTATATCAAAGAATACACATCACCGGCACTGGCCAAGAAAATGACGTGTCTTATGAAATATTTAAAAGATTTGATAGAAAAATTTCAAAATATACGTAGTTATTCACAGAAATATTGTTTTTAATAAAACTTATGTTGTTCTATTTTTATTTCAATGGGTCACAAGCTTAAGTGTAGCGGATTCATTTGCCGTTTTTTACACAAGTGCCGAAGTGGGGCTAAATTTCTTTCACTTCGGCAAGATAGGATTTTCACAATTATGAAGCGTTATAAATAAATTGGACAGGGATGTATTTAAAAAAAATTGTTAATTGTCGTGAAATAAAATGTCAGCTTAGCTTCCAAACAAATAATTGCCAAATATGTCATCTGTATGTCCGTATGTCAGGTATTCTTCATTGACGACTTTTGTAATTAATGCAAATAAACCTTTTTTTTATTGTTTCCTGTAAAATCTCTGTGAAGCAATGATGATATTCAAAGTGTTATTTAACAACTTGCTGTTGATGCTGAAACTATTCTATCAGCAAAATTTGAAGAACAATAATTATTTTAACAACCATGTCCAAGCAACCATCAAAGAAACGTCGCCTTACTGGCCCAACTTTTTTGACAAGTTGGTTAGAGAAGTCTACTCCTTCATCAAATTGTAGTCAGACAGATGAAAATCATCACCATGAGCAAAAGCTCTGAAGTTGAAATTCAACTTTCACCAGAATGCACTGAAAGTCATCATGTACCAACAGACACAAGAAACCCTACCAGTACCATTGTATCACTGAAAGAAAATACCAGAATCACAAAAGATCCAAAGAAACGAAAAACAGTATCTTTGCCTGTCTAAGTATGCAGCGATTGGTCTTGTTTTGCCAGTTTCAGCATCATATTGTGAACGGTGTTTTTCATGTTTAAACAGAGTTATAACATCTTTGAGAAACAGACTATGCCAAAAAGTGCTGAATTGCTTAATGCATACATCAATTGAAGGACCAAAGGAGGAAGACTTTGATTTTGAAACAATGTGTGGTGACCTTTGGAAAGTTGAAACAGAGGAAGATATCAACAAAATAATGTGTACGTGACATTAATTTGTAAATAACTATTGCAGACTGGATTATTTTTATTATTGTTTATAAGGTCTTTCATTAATTCTTCTCATCTGTGATAAATACTTTAAAGTTCCATGACTTTTATGAATTGATGTACCTATAATAAAACAATTAGATTGGTATATGGCTTTAAACATATAAATTATGTAGTGTAACTAATTCTGAAAAAGAAGCATCTTGCTCCGCATTGCAATTAGTGGGGGTAATTAAAATAATAATACTTAAACCAGTGATTTTCATGTCATTATCCCAGATTCAGTACAAGGTCATCACCTGACATGACCGGTTATCCTATCAACATAGATGTTGGTTTTGATAATTTTAGCAACACAATTAGTCCCTGGATCATTAGTATTGTATATTTAAAGCTACAATAAAATTAAATCACTTAGTCTAGTGATTTATTATACCCCACGCAACGAGTTGCGGAGGGTATAATGTTTTTGACCCGTCCGTCTGTCCGTCCGTCAGTCCTATTTCTTGTCATCGCAACTCCTCTCAAACCACACAACAGAATTTCACGAAACCTTTTTAGATAATAAGGACATACTATGTAGTTGTGCATATCGACAGGAAATTACGATTCAATTTTTTTTCTAGGAGTTACGCCCCTTTGAACTTATTTACTTTAATGTACTACTGCAACAGTTTGTCATCGCAACTCCTCTCAAACCACACAACAGAATTTCATGAAACCTTTTCAGATAATAAGGACATACTACGTAGATGTGCATATCGACAGGAAATTACGATTCAATTTTTTTTCCAGGAGTTATGCTCCTTTGAACTTATTTGCCCAATATACTACTGCAACCTTTTGTCATCGCAACTCCTATCAAACCACACAACAGAATTTCATGAAACCTTTTCAGATAATAAGGACATACTATGTAGATGTGCATTATGATTCAATTTTTTTTCCAGGAGTTACGCCCCTTTGAACTTATTTGCCCAATATACTACTGCAACCTTTTGTCATCGCAACTCCTCTCAAACCACACAACAGAATTGCATGAAACTGTGTACATAATAAGGACATACTATGTAGATTTGCATATTGACAGGAAATTATGATTCATTTTTTTTTTCTGATACAATTTTTTTTTCTTACACTTATTTTATTTCTCCAATGACAATGTGGGGACGTGGTGTATGTGAGCGCGCTCACTAAGGTTCTTTAATTTAAATTTGTACTACTTAAATTGGTGATTACTAAAGAATATATCCGGTCGTATATTGGTATCACAACCTGGTCAGCGTCATCTGAAGACATTTGGTTTCCGGACAATAACTTTAGTAAATGTAAATAGAAATCTTTGAAATTTATATGCAAGGTTTATAACCACAAAAGGAAGGTTGGGATTGATTTTGGGGGTTATACTTCTAACAGTTTAGGAATAAGGGGCCAAATAAGCATTTTTCTAGTTTCCAGACAATAACTTGTGGAACGGTGTATGGATCTCTGAAATTATACCACAAGTTTCCATACCACAAAGGGATGGTTAGGATTGGCTTTGGGGGGTTGTGGCTCAAATCATTTAGTAATTAGGGGCAAAAAAGGGGGAAAAACAAGGGTGTCCTGGTTAATGGAGAATTAAAAAAAGAGCAATGTTATGTTTGGATTACCTCCCTTACACTGCTTTTAAATTATGTATAAAGAAATGTTGTATTGTCTTGAGGTGATTAGCTGTCAATTTATTTTTAGAAGTTACTATTTAAAAATGCTGATTAAGGAATATTAATTTTAACCATGATTATGTATGTCATTTTCTATTTTAAGACTTTTATGATGTATTTAAATTGGAAATTGGTTGTTAACTTCTTTGTTATTTGGTCTCTAGTGGAGAGTTGTCTCATTGGCAATCATACAACATCTTCTTATTTTTATATTGTATGAAATTCTCCATGTAGACAGAGACATACATAGAGCTCCATGTATCTACATGTATATCTTTGGTGAAGATGTCGCGTTTTAAAAACACTATAAAAGAGATGTTTTTAGAATGAATCTTTCTTCAATTTACTATTTACATTTACTGTTAATCCTTTACAGTCTGGACTATAAATACTGTTAAACATTAAAACATTGGGAAAAAAATATAAAATAATGTTTGAATATTATTTTATTTATTTACCAAGAAATATATTCCATATAAACTTAAAGTTTAAGAAAGACAGGAATTAATTAGTGATAACATAATATGAAATGTTTATAAACATTTTACTGGATTCATAAACAATTTACCTAGAATGGAAATCTATAAAAAAAAGAAGCAAATGGGTTCAATTAAAAATTCATTTTAACAAATAAAAATATACATTTTGATTTTATTACTGCGACTCTT